GGGGATGTCGGGGATGTCGGGGATGCCGGGGGTGCCGGGGATGCAGGGGATGTCGGGGATGTCGGGGATGCCGGGGGTGCCGGGGGTGCCGCCGCTCCGTCCCCGCCGCTGTCCCCGCTCCTCGCAGCGCTGTCCCCATCTCTCCGTGCCGCCCCTCTCTCCGCCGGCACAGCCCTCTGCCCGCAGCCCTGCAGCTCTCCCTTCAGGGCTCTGTTTTCCCTCTCCAGCTTGTTGATTTGGGAGCGCATCTTGCGGATGAGCTGCAGGAGGTGCGCGTTGCCCTCCATGCTGCCCCGCGGAGATGCTCCTGGGCCGGGCACACGGAGCCCTTAAAAGCCGCTGGACAATGGGAATCCCTCCCCGCACGGCCCGGTCAGCTCTGGGAGAGCTGCTCCGAGCTGTCAAGTTGCTAAGACAGGGCCATGATTTATTTATTGGGGGCTCGCGTTTCAGAGCGGAGCTGGCCTCTCCCCGCCGCACAAATCTCTGCACCGGCGAAAAGCCGCCAGCCCCTCGCTCGCCCCTTGGTTTAKCTCCAAAAACGGAGCCCATTTCCTTTGGTTTGCCCAAAAAGGCCGGTGGTCAYCTCCACAGCACACAGGGAGGGTGCCCTTTGCCTGGCAGCAGTTAATCTCTCCCTTAACACAGGGACAATTACACTTCTTGCTCTGTGCATCTGGAATTTCAATGCCAGAATTAGCACTTTCTGGCAGGAAAATGACGTTTCTAAATGAAAGTTGATACGGTACAAGAAACCCACTATTAGCAACACATACTGTGAGGGATGAGTGATGCCCCAAAGCTCTCCTGGAAGGCTGCAGCAGAGCCTGGCCCTCTCTGGGCACCCAGGGAGGCTCGCTGGAGTGGAGAGCCTGCTCCAGCATCCCAGGAGTGTAACGAGAGACAGACCAGGCATGATTCTTGCATCAGCAAGAGAAACACAATCCCCTGTGCTTCTCTCATCACCTAAAGCCGTCTTTCTGCTGGCAGGAAGAGGCAAAAGCCTGTGGAGCAGCCCTTCACAGTCTCCAAAACCTCCTTCAAAATACAGAACTGAGAATGCCACAGGGAAATAATTTAACACACCTTTAACTTGGAGGCCATTCTCTTCTCAATAGCTCAGCAGTGACTCAGGAATATCTGAGAGGGGAAAGAAAGGCTTTTCAGCTGTGTGCATTTCCCCACTCTGCTGCTGGAGAAGAAAAGGAAAGCTGTTGTGAGATGCTTCAAACACGAGATGACTCAGTTTTATTTTTTCCAGACGTGTCAGACGGGCTGTGTGAGGCTGCTGCACCTCCAGTTACTGGGAAATTGAGCACAAACTGCTGGAATTCAGACAAAAGCAGGGATGGAAGTGAGGGCTTTTGCCCAGGGGCATGTCCCCCTGTGGGCATTGCTTCCCAAATCATCAAAAAGTGCTTCCCAAGGGCAAAATGGTTCCCATGGGGCACACTGTGCTCGCTGCCCCGCTGMCCAAGAGCCACAAGCCATGCCTAGCAGGGACAGTGGCACTGGCTGCAGGAATACACACCTGTGCTGATTCTTCCAGGGACACAGGCACAAGGCTGGGCACTTGGAGCCACAAGAGCCACTGGCAGTCCTGCTGTCACCTCCTGGGAACYTCTCCAGGGAGCTGTGCATGGTTCAGGATGCATGCAGAGAGGTGAAATGAATGTGCATTTGGTTTGGGCTTGGACCCAGGCTTAAAGAACAGTGTAGGTGTCCCTGTGCTGGGGACAGYGTGGAGGGGACATTATGGGTGTAACTTGGGCACTGCAGCAGTGACAGCACCCATGTGTAATTATAATTATAATTATCACTGCTGATCCCACAGCTGGTGGGTTTGGCTGGGAAGGGACATTCACCACTCAGCAATTGGCTTACCCCAGCCATAGCTGGAGACATCTGCCCCTCTGATCCCATGCCTGCTGCTCCTCTGGAACCAGACTGGAGCAGGCACAGACCTTTCCATGCACCAGAAACGTCTGAGGAAATGATTTTTGTCTTGTAACCTCACACAGCTGCTCCTGCTGCAATTCCTGCCCACGGATGGATGGGCAGGGGGCCAGATGAGTCAGGAATTCTGGACAATGAAATCCTGGCAGAGCTGACCAACGTGTTCCTGCGAGCAGAAAGGGCTCTGTGCACCCAACCCAGACATCTGCTCACCCTGCCAGCCCCTGGATGCTGCTGCTCTGCCTGCCATGGGTGGGCGACCTGCTGGGTGCCCCTGAGCCAGGGCACACATTCAGGCTGCAGATTGTCCTGGCTGTACCTTCAGCGTGTCCTGAGCCCACTGCAGACACCTACAGCTGTGTGGCTTTTGTTAAAAAGCACTTTGACTTCAAGTCTTTTTGCAGAAAGGGCAATTTCTCACACCTGAGGTCCTTTGGCAAGTTGTGCCTAGTACAATACCGACCTGGGTAAAATCGTTTTCACCCTCAGTCATATCCAAAGCTCTCTGAGTTTCTGTCAGCTGCTCGAGGAGCCCCATAGCAATATCTCTGTGTGTCTGCTGGTGCGTGTGCTGTGTCTCTTGGTGTACAAACTGCACACCAAACAGCTCTGCAGTAGAAACGCTGTAGATAAAACACAGGAAGCTTGTGGAGCATCTCCATCCAAAACCACGGGGAGCTCAGCTCTGTTTGTGCCCCTGCCCAGCAGGATGTGCAGGAGCTGTGTGTGCACGGCTGCTGCAGGGGCTCCCTGGGGAAGGGCTGCACTGAGAGCAGCCAAGGGACAGTGTGTGACAACTGCCACCAGCAGAGAACCTGCACAGCCACCGCTGCTGCTGAGCACTTGCTGGAGCTGTCTCRTTTGCCAAATCCTTCTTGCTCCCCTGAGCTTCGAGAGACTAAAAAAAATCAAAAAGGACTGCACTGCTACTCTAGTATGGTGATTTTTTTTTTTTTTCAGCATATCACAACGTTTTGTCCTGGAAAATCCACCATCAGCGGGTGTGTGGGTATTTTCTATGACGCTGCAGCTGGAGGTGTGTCCTGCCTCCCAGTGCAAAAACACAGAGCTCCCATCTCTGGGGCTAAACCTGAGCATTCTCACTGCAAGGACATCACTGTGCCCTGAATCCTGGCTTGATTTCTGACTTTGACATGTTTTATGTGGTGCAAAAGAGCTTAATTATCTTCTGTATCTGGATGTACGACTTAAGGAGGTAAAAAAAGAATATTTCAGTGGATTTAAAAATTAACAAAAAAATTTTTTATGTGCTGATTCTATTTTGCTGACCTAGTTCTGATCATTTTCCTTCTATACATCTGAAAGGACTGAACAGGTTTAATGTCCAAATTTGATCCCATATTGGCATTCTCCCAGTGGCTTCTCCATTTTAATGGTAAAGTAAGAGGTAAAGAGTAAATTTAGGAAGCAAATTTATATTTTTCAATTTTCATTTCTTCCCTTTTATTTTTTTCAAAGCTGAGAGCTTCAGACCTTTATGCATTTAAATTTTCCCTGTGTTGTACTTGGCCTATCCTGTTGCCTGAGGCTCAGCAGCAGGTTTAATATCAATGCTCAACTTGAATGTATTTTCTTCTGAGCACTCAAATAACAACTTGAATGCAGTGGGACATGCACCATGGTCTGCAMAGGCCTTGCTCACCTGAGCCCAGCATGGTGGCAGCCACATCRGTGTCCCCACAGCGGCTGCTGTGCCAGGCCAGGTCACATATTTGAATGGATTTAATCTGCAAATGAATGGATTTCATCTGCCACGTACAGAAATGAGTCCTTCTTATGAGGAAAGGATCTGACAGAGTAGATTTTGCAGCAGAAATTGGAAATGTTCTAATAATCAGACAAATGGTGCAGCCTCTCCAGTTTGCTGGTCATGTCTGTGTTTAACAGTTCCCTGAGTTTTCCTGGCCATGCACTCCCAGGAAGGGTGCTGCTCCCAGCCCCAGCCCCAGCCCATGGTCACCCACCCAAGGGGTCCATCCATCCCTGCAGGGCCCCTGCTCTTTTCTCGGGCTGTTCTGGGCTCCTGTCAGAGCTGAGCTCCCACAGTGGAGGCAGGTACAGRAGCTCGTTCCAATTCCTGCAGCAGTGCCTCAGGCTTTCACCMRGGCAATCAGCTAATTATTCACTGAYGAGACTCATTACAGGCTGTTTGGAGCACCCCAGTTCCAGCTGAGGGAATACCTCCCCGTCCTCTGAGCTGGCACCACAAACAGAGGAACCTGGAGGCCCATTTGGTGCATTCCCACAGCTACAAATGCTGGAAAATACCCACTTTCTTATTCTGAAAAGAGTGACTTTGGGTCTCATGTATTGCACAGCTAAAACCTGCTATTCCTACCCCTGTCTGAAGGACAAGGCTGAGCTGGTGTTGGTTCCCTCGGGTGGGAGCACTGCCCAAGGTGGGCACAGGGCGCTCCTGCATCCCTGGCCAGGCTGAGCCACCTCCCGAATGCCACCCGTGTGTCACACACCGGGAACAGCGCCCGGCACTGGGTACAAAGCTCCCTTTGAACACTGCCGGACATCACCTTCAGCAGGTGGAGTGGAAATCACTCAGAGGATTGAGCCCAGGAAGGGAATTWCAGCTCTGCAGGAATGCTGTGTCCTTGACAGTGAAGGGAAATGGGAGTGTGACAGCAGCACGAGTGGGACGGGGACATGGGGACAGGGACAGGGGCTGCCCTGGGGCACGGGACCGAGCAGCACGGGGAGGGCAGAGCCCGGGGATCGCTGCCCAGCCTCACAGCTAGCCGGGAGTGAGAGATGCCAACCTGGCAGCGTTCTCCGCCTCAGTGAGACCTGGCCTTTCTCCCGAGTGATGAATCGCKGCTTTCCGAGCGCGGAGAGCGGGCACAGCGAGMGAGAGAGCTGCTCCCACAAACACARCACCGCGGCGAAAATCAACCATATGGGTAAAGCATTCTCGGGTTTCAACATCTCGTTAGGCAGTGATGGCACAGAGTTATCTGATTAGTCTGTTAAAAGGTAATTGTTTAACTTATTAACGTCTGTTAAACAATTTTTTTTTGTTTTGCAGGGACCGTTTGCTTGACTGCGCCTTAACTCCCGCGTGTATGCAGAAAATCCCACAGGAGCCCTGTTAAAAGCAGCTTTGATTCTGAGCATTCAGGGCTTCTGAAAGGGGTCTGAATTCCAGCAGGGGATGCTCAACACTTTTGAAAAACAAGGCTTAACCTGAAAATGGGAAATGGAAACATCGAGATACACGAGTCACATCTGAAAAGCTCGGCTCCGCTTTTGGACTGGGCTGGCATGAAGCAAGGCTGCAGAAACGTTTCAAACTTGTAAG